AATAATAATAATAATAAAGCTAAACACGAATTATACTGTTTTAAAGAAAAAAGGCTATTGACTATTCAGGCATCGATCAGCCATCTAAGAGTTCTTCTCATGCCACGGGCACCACGTGGAATAAGCCATTGCTGGGTAATCTTGTTGCAAACGTGCCAACAATACGATGACAGGACTGTAGAACCTGCTTGTGAGAATAATTTTGATATAACTACAGTCAAACCCCGTTATACCACCTACATTGGGACGATCATGAAGTTAGTGGGACAATGGGATTGGCAGTATAATGGGATAGCACCGCTTGCCATCTTGACCAGAGTGACACAAACTACAGACAAAATATGGCCATCTAGGTCTACACTCATCTAGATCTGCAATGCGCGATTGCCATACTCAGGGAATACGAGTAGCAGCAATTTACATGTACAGCTCTAGCTGAACTTGCGTAAATTCAAATGAAAAATTTCTACCGAGTTAGATTAGGTTATATTATGTTTCAAGGACTATGTAGACGTATAGCTTTTGAACCAATACTCGCCAGTCCTCGGGCTGCCTCAGATATTCCGTGTTGTACTATGAGTCTTTTACCTTACCATATATCCCCCACGGACCTCAGCCACAATTTTGGTCATCGGGCTGGTGTCTGACAACGCCAGATATTTCGCCGGCAAGTCGAGGAGGCATGGTTCCTTTGGAGCTTCTCCAGGCGACTTTAAACTTTCATTTCAAGAATCTTTCGAGGTGACTTTATACTTTTATTCCAACTTTTTTTTCTTAGATATTGGCCAAAGCCTAGGAATAATAGTATAAAATAATCAGCACAAATCAGGAGCAAATCGGCGACAAATTATGTCAGAAATAGGCTGAAGTCTCTGAAACGTGCATGGGAAAGATTGACCAAACAGCCACCGAGTGATTGCCGTGCGCCGTTTTTAGTGGATAAATAATATTGGCCTCTGGCGGCAATTCGCTGTTGGTATAGCGGATTAACTTTACATTACTCTAAAAGGGACCTTAAAACTCAGACAGGTGGCGGATGGCGGGCAGCAGTCCAAAGGCGCAAATACTCTGTTTATATGGGCGTTCCGTTTTGTGGGTTGGTAAAACCTGGCTGTAACTGAAAGCGAAGCTGGCGCGCAATAATTGTGTGTGTGTGGGGGTGGGGGGGGGTATAAGAGATTAACTGTATGTTGCTTTTCACCCTTTTGGCTCATTATTGTCATAAGACAGACTTTAAATATGCAGCCTACCAAACTATTAAGGACTACAGAACAATATATTGCGGACTCTACTTTATATCAAAATTAAGTGTTTATGTGACCAGCACCCAATTTTATTTCACGCATATCTTTTTTGCTCGTGGTCTTGCCTTGGATTTTTGTTTAACACCTTTCGGTTCACTATAAATGAGGCTGGTAACACATTCCGATTGTATTTTTTGACAAGTCACTACCTTATAATTGCACACTTCTATCTGATATTTTCCCCGTTTTGAGATACTAAGACCATGAAGTCAGAAACCAAGTAATGTTCTATCTGCTCCAATAAAACTGAAAGATTATTCGGAGTTGTTTATCTTTAAAAAAAATTAAATTCTTTTCTTCTTTATTCGGAGTTTTTATTAAGATTTTCAAAGAGTTGCTTTCGAAATAGCTTGGCATGATGTCAAACTCTAAATATTTGACAACAAATTCCTCAAAACTGGGCACTGAGCAGATAGAACTTTGTATGTAATTCAAGGGTAGAGAAGTTTATACTTAATTTCAAACGTGTGCTTGAAAGAAAAAGATGCTTGAAACCAAACCTTTTATAAGGAAAACTAGGCATGGTCAGGCGAACCAAAATTCTGGACTCCAGAGAGGCCCCTTGTAATAAAAGGTGGACAAAAACTGGGGTGCTGTGTTTTGGAAAGATAAAGTCTGCGTTGAATGGAATGTTAACCCCATTCCACCATTCCACGCCATACCCATGACACCTAACTTGATTCGGTCTTAGCTGGGGCGGATCCCAATAGAGGGGCCCAACCTTTGTACTGCGTGTGTTTCTAAATGTATGTGTATTGTACATGTTTGCGTGCGGGTTGAAATGTGAATGAGAAAGCGGGAACGGAAAGGGCAAGAGAGAGAACGAGAGAGAGAGAGAGAGAGAGAGAGAGAGAGAGAGAGAGAGAGAGAGACAGAGAGAGAGACAGAGAGAAAGGGGGGGAGGAGAAGTGAAAAAGAGACAGGTAAAAGTAGGTGCGGAAGGGTTGTATTGGGCGAGGACGTGAAAGGAGGGGGAAAGAAAGACATACTTCATCAAAAATGCAAACGAAGATCTTATATAACGTATAAGTAATGATATTCTGTTCATGAGCCTTGACTGTCACTGTCAACAACTGCACAATAGTAAATGTTACTTAGCTCTTACCTTATCTTATCTTATCCTATCTTATTTTATCTTTAACCTATCCCATACGATATCACAGAAATACACTGTTCATTTTAATGTATCATCCCCAGAAACAGGTATGGCCTCCTCTGTCAAGCGAGACGTGCATCTCCTTCATACCTTTGCTCACCTCAGCCTCCTATTTTTGTACAACGTCGAAGCAGCTACACACCAGGTTCTGCTCCAAAAGTACAGTTGTGCATCGCCCAGTAACCTTACTGGCTCACTCGTCTTCACATCTGTACAGACAAAAGCCGAGTGCGCGGTGAAATGTTTTGACACATGCGTCGCCATTGTGGTCAATCCGCAAGGTAGTTCAAGCATAAACTGCGCAGTCCTCACTAGCTTGCAGCATATCCCGTCTCACTCGATGGTGTCCTGCAGCGACCCCTTGAACTCAGCAGTCGTCTACAAGAACAACAAAGTGAGAGTCTATTTTGTCGAGTTGATTTTTTGTTTATGCTGGATGCTTAAAATGTGAGTTTAAGGCTCTTATAGACAGAAACAGCTCAACTCGAAGGCTGGCCATCCACTTAGGTGAGGAGGAAAAAAATAGAAGAAAAAAACGGGGGTTGGTTAAAGCAGAGATGGTACATTAGAGATTCTCCTGGTGCTACACAGTTCCTCGTTAACTATTCTGAGGGATATAATCCCCCGCTGGTGTGCAGTTCACAATCTGTTTCCTGAAACATCAGCCAAACCAAGAAAAACCATGTCCTCATACAGCATAGGACAGGCCTTCATTGTTACGAAAACCTTAACTAACCTTACCCAAAATATAATAGTATTATTTTCATAAATGTTTAGCCACTTCAGTGTATAATTACTAGCTCTTAATAAGCTGTTACTTGGGAATTGATTCTCTGAGGGCTGTTGATAGTAGGAAACGCAATTTCAAGCTTTCCAAACAAAGACATATTGTTTAGTTAGACTTGTGTTTGGCTTTCGTAGTGATTCTAGTTAAGGTCCCGAAAGAGAAGCAAGGCTCTATAGGCTTTCTGTACAGGCTTAATCTTTTACTTTATTGATTTGATTATGGTTTCTGATTTTACATAGGCCTACCTAGCTATGGTAAATCTGCCCAACAGCTTTGTCATAATACTTTCGACAAATGTTTTTGAGAGCCTGTGTTATACTGTCAGCCTATCCATCAAAGCTGGTGTCCGTACTCCACAAGTGAATTAATAGACTTTGCTTCAGACAGCGTCACAGGAACACAAAATTTTACATACTTAATTATTTTAAAATGTAAACTCTCATCAGTTCCTCATCATGTTTCGGATTTATCCACATGAACATAGACGCATAAAGTGCATTCTGGAAAATTCAGCTAATTAAAGTTTCAACAGCCCTCTGGGTATTAATGTATAAGATTTGTTTATGATATGTAATATGTACATTATGCGACTGGTTGAAAATTTCAATAAATGCAGCATCTGACGACACTGACAAAATAATATTGAAAGGGGGAAATAAAGTCCAAAACGGTTGAATGCCCAATGTCGTTCATGGGATAACAAAAGAGACGAAAGGAGATAATAAAAGTGCAGGCTTTGCATTTGGCTTTCAGTAAGATCTTCCGACACCGACGATTACAGGTGGAGACATTTTCTGTACAGCAGTTATGGACGTATAATATCGGAATTCATAACTTGAGCAAAGGAAAAGCTATCACATATTTGGCCTGGATTCTCTGATCGTCGGGGTTGTAATGCAGCTGCAACTTGTCTGAACCACATTTCAGTTCACTGCTCTCACCAATGAAATTGAAACATATTACTTTTAAGGGACGGGTGCCCAGGACAGAACAAAAATAAAAGAGTAATCTATTTCCTTCTGTCTTTTTCTGAACAAAAGCGTTTTAGAACATAGACCACAACTCCTGACACGTAGACATACGTACTTTCCTTGTGACAGGAATTTTGCACATATAGACACATACAAACAAGAATGACTTCCAAAGGTACCAAATGACTACATGGACATTTAGGAGCTAATTCAACCAAGCAACCATTTCAAAGTGGAAGCCGTGGAAGCAAAGGACATATGTTTGATTTTAAATCCGTTCTTATCATGCTATCAAACAACCCTTCAAGGATTTAAGATTAATGGAGGACAGGCAGTTTATCTGTATGGCGAAAGTGGCGAACTAAATAATGAAGGCACAAGTATTGAATACAAAGCACATCCTGGTTTTGTGCAGGTATAATTTGAACAAAGCTGAACCATGGAAGAAGTTCAAAATCTTTTAAAGAGGAACAAAGATTGCTGTGGGAGGCCAAAGTCTGCCTACACAAATCAAGTTGGCAAAAAAGCAGAAAGTTGTTTCTTTCTTCCGTTCTTTAGAGTATGAAAATGCTTAACGAATGGGTTTTGCCTAGATTTCCTGAATAAAGTCTCCATTTCAGTTGTACATTTATTTAAACGAGTAATATATCTTTTACCCGTTCCACTTTGGCATTACAAAATAAAAAGCAACGTAAATGTCATGAAAAGTGTGTTTGTTGTTGCCGTTTTATTGGCAATCTTTTACACGTAATGGACTCCATCCGTATGAAGTTAGACCCCTCTTATGACTTCCGCATAGCATGGCTTATGTAAAGTATACCTTGCCTAAAATCCAATTTACACGTGCAAATGGGCCAATCTGAAGGTTCAGTCAAACAAGTCTTTCAAATTGTATGCGAAACCACATTTCTATCAAAGGCATCACTAAAACTTCGACAAACAAGTCTAAAATAAGAACAGTCCAAAGGGGTTAAGTCCATTTGTGGAGTTAGACCCCTTCTGTTTCCGACATTGTTTTTTTCGCCATAAATCTTTTACTTGTCATCGTAATGCAACACAGGGTCGATATTTTTTTAAGTAAAAAAAATTCGCATGCACTGATATCAAATATGTTACACAAGCGCACATTTTAAAATATCACGTTTGTTGGGGGGTTGCGTTTTTCTCGAAATCATTCCAATGGCACTTAACTCCTTTCTAATTCTAACCCCTTCAAATATTGACTCTATTACGCTTCCATCGACGACAAACTTTAGATCATGTAGAAGGCGGCTCCGACCCTACCTGTCAGGGCCAGCCTGGAGCGAGGGATCCAACGTCCCAACAGAAAATCAAAACATGCAGGGGCGAAGGCTGACTTGTTTGACAGGGTAATCAAAGTGAAATGGGACCAGATAGGGCCTGTAGATATCACACAAGAATCTTACTCGAGGCGGCGACTCTGAGTTGTGAATGAAAACAAATCCGGAATTCATATTGTATGTTCAACCGCCAAAATAATCGGGAAAGTATCTTATTAAATGTCAGTTCCCACTAAGATTAAACTTAACTTTAGATGTGAATACATAAACATAAAGCAAAGAAGCAGAGATGTCAGTACTAGATCTATATGTTATAGATCTACCAGTGAGTCTAACTCTTTGGTAGAACATGACAATTATTATTTTTTAAATTTCACATTTGGCTGTTTTTGTTAGCCTTTCGCGGCCAGGAGCTGGTGTCATAATCGAGGTCACGATCTGATTATAGGACGGTAAAAAGTCGAGGAAAAAAACCCAAGCACAAGCAGCAGTCAAGAGATTATTAAGAGTTAGTTCCCCTCACATTTGTGAGGTAGACTCGACCAGTGTTAGTTAGCTTACTTAATCAAGGCTGGTGATTGATTTTAACTGTGGCCCCAAAGGGGTGAACAGGGTATATGTGGCAATGAAACAGCTTTGACTGCCATGCACATGTTCCCTTCAACTCTATTCCAGCCTCACTTTATTTGTTGATTACGAACGTCTTTTGACATTTAATTTATGAGGTTTACGTTTAAGGATGAATTTGACAGCGACAATGTTTCAAAATTAGAAAGGGAAGCAGTGATTATTTGATTATATAGACGCTTCGCCCCTGAAAACATGTATCATTCTCCCAAAAAAGAATCAAACTCCAGTCCTCTGAAGCAAAGGTTTGGTTTGAATTAGAATTAGGAGACGCGACATGTCTCGAGAATATCAGAAACGCAGCGTACAGAAAATCAAACAGAAATAACTGATGACAAAAAAAGAAGCAGTGGAAACAAGAGTTACGGTACCTTAGTCGTTGTGATGATGCGAGAGGACGTGGGAGGATAAGCGTACTATGCCTCTTTTCCTTTTTATTACATTTCATATTATTTTATTTATCTTTTTTAGACGAACTATGAATGCAACTCTACAATCACGGTGTTCGGACGCCAGCACTGTCTACACGACACCGGCACCAACACCGATTCTCACTCGGAGGCCGAGAGCGTGTGTCAGGCTATGGGTGGTCAGTTGCCAGAGGCGGACACACTAGCAAACATGGCAGCCATCGCTTCTATCTTTACACCGCGTGAGTATCAGTTAGCTTGGCACTTAAAATAATCGTAATATAGACCACTAAGAAAGCTAACTCCAAATTTCTTAATGCTAAACGCTAGGCTACGAAACTGGGTGACATTGAAATATCCTGATCACGCTAAAATAAATAAATAAATCAATCAATCAATCAATAAATCAATCAATAAACAAATAAAAATATTCAAACTAAGAATAGTGCAATCTCGACTATCAGTAGTCCGGTGTCTTACAGATACAGGCTTTAGCTGGGGTTTGTTTGGGTTTTTTTGTCAAAAAGGTATTTTGAGCCTTTTCAACCAGTCTTATATATAACGAAGAACGTGGGTCGATAAACCTTTTGCACGCGATCTCGAGCTGGATATTTTCCAGGCTGAGAGTTTACAACCCTAATTTAGCGGGGGGGGGGGGGGGGTTGAAAGGTGGAGACTCATACAGACGGACGACAGTCAGATTAAAGAGGTTTGCATATAGACCAACGTGGTATCGACAAAATAGACCAAGATACCAGAAAAAAAAGAAAAAAAAAAAAAAGAATATTTCTCTTGGGGAAGAGAGAAAGAATTTCGTTTAAAGTTGCCATGTATGTGATGCAAAATTTGGGAGTGTTAATAAATTGCACTTTTGTGTGCACAAATTAAAAAACAAGTAGTCTTACATTCCGTTCAAGGGGACTACTTAATAACTGTTTCTAGAGGTGTGCACACTGTCACGATCTTTTTTCTTCTTAAGATTGAATGAGAATACTGAAACAGGGAGAAGACAGGAGATAGGAACGAGGGGAATGATTGAGAAAAGTGGACAAGAAAGACAGAAAAGGAAAAAGGGAAATCATCTTATAAATAGAATACAATAACCATAAAAATATTCCCAGTCTGTAATCTCTTTAGTACTAACAAGATATTCCGCACCTCTTCATCTAGGAATTTCAGTTGATGTGTGCTAATGACAGACAGGTAACGAATGGACGAAATAAATAATTGTTATGTGGCCAATACAAAATTGTAAGCAAGGGTATGTGTCGGCATAAGTGAACCATTATCAGATCGATGCCCCATAGTGTGCATTGCTCTATTTCAAGCACCAAGAAAAATATCTATATAAATATTAACTTATATGTTTAGTTGTTATTTTCCCTCGGGGATATTTTTTGTTGTTTTTTTCTGTGGGAGAGGGTGCGGGGGAGGGGTGAGGAAGAAAAAATGGGTGGGGTTGGAAAAATAATAGGGGGAGGGGGAGGGGCGTATCAATAGTCTTGTTTTCATACTTGTTTTGTTTTTTGTTTGGGGGGGGGGTGTTCTGTGATGATAATATATTTCAGAGATGTTCATTTTCCTCTGTGGTAACAAAAACATTAAGAAAATAAAAAAGAAACATTTTGTTTTAAAGATGTGAAGCTTTTTAAAGGACAAAAATAAATACGATTTATTAACATATTTTTTTTCTGTTTGTATCTCAGCTGAGTTCATCTGGATGGGAGCCAATGACCTGGTTACTGATGGAACTTACCTGTGGCCCTCTGGTGTTGAAGTTGACGTATCTTTCTGGGAGGTTGGCGAACCACATAATCGTGCTAAGGAGAGCTGCACGGCACTCTCCAGATTCAACACTCTGCTCCTTGTCAACATTATATGCGAAGGGTTTTCAGTCCCTGTTCACGTTGTGTGCGACATTGTTTCAGACTGATTTAGGCTGGATGCTGTGTAACAGAATGTATTATCTGCCACTGTGGAATAGGACATTGTGTCACGACATCGTGGAATCAGGCGCTCGTCAATTTTTGGGCATATGGATTTATTGGTATCACCTGAAAGCTGATTTATTTGCCTTGCTTCCAGTGAAATAAATATCTATTTATCTTGAATAGGATTCAAAATATCGCCTGGTTTCAGTGGTAAAAATAGCTGAGAAAATGGCCTCCAAAGTTGGGCAATTCATTAGCTAAGCTGTAACAGCTAAAGAGTCTTTGAAAACTGGAAACTGACATATTGTGTACCTTTAATCAAAGTTTTCGGTAAAACATGATATGGAAATACGTTTTATCATGGACATAAAAGAGGTTAAGCCACCCCCTTCAAAAAAATAAATTCGATAAAGTTTCCCACACCAGCGGAAATGCCTGTTTCTCCGATTTCGTTATTTTGACGAGCGCCTGATTTCACCACGCTGCCTCACTTTTGTGTACGAGTAGAGTTTGAATTATGTTCCTAGTCTAACCAGAAATATAAGTCAGACTTGTCCAATACGACGACCAATTGTCCAGCAGATAAAAGGACATCTTACAGAGGTAGTCATCTTGGATAGTGGCATTATAGTATAGGTTTAAGAAACTAAAAAGACGGAAACGGGGCGGGGGGGGGGGGGAGGTGAGTGGGAAGTTGGCAATGGAAAAGGTGGGTGTCTCGTATAGAATGAAGGTCGTTAGAGTAAATTCGACCTCCAGACTATTTCTAAAAAGCCCAGGAGAGCTTGCCGTAGCAGAACTATGTTTTACTCTTAATTTGAGCTTTGATGAAAGAGAAGTACGTCGACACAAGAACGATTAAATTGAAATCTAAACATGCCCTAGTGTATGATCGTGGCAAAAGTATAGCGTTGGAAAGCACTTTAGTTCAAGACTACTAAATACGAGTCTCATCCGTGACAATAGATACAACATAAACGTTTTCTAGGCCATTTTTTAAAACTTATTGAATCTAATCTTTTTTGGTCAGCAAAATTATTCATCCCAAATTTTAGTGGATATTGCTAGGATCATCATCAATATAAAATGCCAGATATGAAACAGAGAACGGCGATACTGGTTCTCCATTCATTTTCTTTTGGCTGGAGTTCTATTTTAAAAAGAATCTATTGCGTGTTTGTCATACCCCGTCACCCACAAGTTCAAGCTTTCCAAGAATCTTTCCTTGCCTTGTTTGTCTTCTATTTTTCTTATGATAGCAATATTTTTCAAGGCCTTTATGTCGCTTCAAGTGTCCAATAAACTCCCATAAATTAATATGTCCCTTTCGAATTGTTATTATTACGTAAATGGGCACTTGAGCTACCTACAGTAACCTCATTTATTGATGACTTTCCTTGTTGTGATCACTGTAGAATAATTATTACTTCTGAGATTCCAGCATCTTGTGAGCAGTATCATAAAACCTGATATATTAACACGCATAATAGTTTAGGTCTGTGCAGAAAACGTAGAGTACATTTTGTGAAAGACACTCTGTCTTTGATTCGTCGAAGTTGGTTGTAGTGAATAATAGAGATACGGGCACAAAACATGCATGCATACCACCACTGACACACATATATAAACACACATTAACAAACAAGCACACACAAACACACAGACACACACACAAACTTACACACACTCGGACGCACACTCAGACAACGACACACATACACAAACATACACACAAACATACACTCACATAAATGCACACAAGCACAATAATATACCCATACAGAGAGAAAAACACACTCACAGAGGCTGAAAAAACATACCCACTTAAGCGCACACACAGACACGCACACAAGCACACACACACACACACACACACACACACACACACACACACACACACACACACAG